TGCAGTATTGAAATCTACCAGATTTGGGGAAGGGATAGTGAGTCATTACTAAGACCTATTTTGTTTCCATGCTTGATTTTTGTGTGTGTGAATGTTGAATCCTACCCCACCTTTCCTGGTCAGTGTGTCCAAGATGTCCTCCCAGGGCTGTATTCACTCCAGCTGCTTTCAGCTTCTGCCCCTCATGCACCTGAAATTATTGCCTTCTCCACCTAGCTTTGTGGCCTATGGGTATGTGAGGTTTTCCCCTGCTCAAGAAGCTCCTCTTGCATACAGTCATTCAAATTGGGGCATAGCCCTGATCACACTGGCAGATGGGGAAAGCAAACAGGCCATGGACCTTTGTATTGGATGTAGGCATTGTGGTGGTGATTGTGGATCAGTCTGATGGATTTAATGCCAGCACTTTCAGACTGAGTTCACTGTGCAAACCACACACAACTGGCCTGGCTTCTCACCACAGAGGGCAGGACCCTGATGTCCTACCTAGCCTGAGTGTAAACTTCTCAGATTGTTCTATGTCTGGCCTGTGCCCTCTCTGCAGCTGTCCCTTGTGTCTGTCTCTCACCTAGTCATTGTGGTTAGGGGGATTCCAGCAACGCTGAAGTGTACTTGTTCTACAGCACAGTCTTAGGCAGTTAACCCCTTCCCCAACTGGCTCCTGATTAAATGCTCTCAAATATAGTGAGTGCTGCACTGGATTTCTTCTCCAACTTTGCCTGCATGTGGGAGGAATCACTTTCAGAGTAAAAGCCCATGCTGCCTTTGCAGTTTACAATAACCATGGGCTTTTCTTGTATTTATCACTGCCATCCCGGTCTGTTATTTCTCCCTGAGCTGCTGATCTTCTTTGAGCTTAGCTTGTGTTAGTGAAGGCAGGTCTCCCTTCCCAGGATCCAGGGTTAGTTTTCTAGACTGCTTTGCTCTTTTCTCTGTGTTGTGCTCAGTTTCTCTAGCACTTCTGTAGTCTCTAGTCTTCCAGTCAGTTTTCTTGTGATTCCTGGAGGTTTACTTTTTTACACTAAGTTGTTGTTTTTCAGGTGTCTTGATTCCAGGTCCTGGGGAGACTGTATGTTTCACTGGTCTTTACTTTGTCCATTTTTAACCCCTTGTCATTTAGTTTTCATAATATCCAGCGAGGAAGGTATTATTTTGACCTGTAGTGTATATCAAAGGAAATTGAGGTGGGGAGGCTTAGTAATTTGACAGTGTCACATCAGAGAGAGCCACATCCAGCCCCCCGAGGGCCTCTCCTCCAGTCACACCTGCTCTCGTCCACTCAGCTGTGGACATGAGGGTGTGGTCACCTGGTACAATCAGTGCTATACAATCCCTTTAGCAGGGCCTGACCTTGGGGCAGTTTTACTAAGATCTGAAACAACAGGAATTGTGTATTAGACATGAGGTTCCTATGGCTATGCTACTACATAAATGTCACGTAATTTATGCTATAGAATGTGTTAGAAAATATGTGGGTTTTTTTGGACAGTTCTAGAGGCCAGAAGTCTAAAATCAGTATTTCTGGGCCAAAATCAATGTTGTTGCCATGTTTCTCCCAAATCCTCTAAGGGGAAATCTGTTGTCTGCTTTCTATAGCTTGGCAGCTGGCATTCTTTAGCAGGTGGCTATACGACTCCAGCCCCTCCCTCCATGACCATACTGCCATTTCCCCTGCTGCTTGTAGTCAAGTCTACTTCCACTTTCCTTTTTTTCCTCCCTCATTCCTTCCTCGTTCCTCCCTCCTTCTCTCCTTCCCTCCCTCCCCTTTTTTTCTTTCTCATTACTAGGGATTGGACCCAGGGCCTTTGCACTGAACTACATCCATAGTCTTTTTTTTTTTTTTTTAAAGTAATTGCTGAATCTTTATTTCATGTATCTTTCATCACAAACACATACACTTTCTTGTGCATATTCTCTGCCCTTGGCTTTTAGACAATTGCTTATGTGTTTTCTTTCTTTTTTTGGTTAATTTTATTTTACATTTTAGATATACATAATGATCATATTTATCATAGGGAGCTGGTACCTGTACATAATATATCTTGATTCTTCTTTTTTGCCAATCCCCTCCTCTCCCTTCAACCCCTCTTTCCCTCCTTATTTACAGATCTTTGTTTCCATTTTTCCTTCTAGTCCCTTTATTTCTTTTCTTTTCCCTCCTTTCCCCCTCCCCACTTTGTTTCCCTTCCTATTTGAACGTTTTCTTCCCATTTCCCAAATTCTATTATATATTTTTGGTTCTTATTTACACTTTCAGTTTCTTATGTCAATGAAACAAGGCAGTGTTTAAATATGTGTGTCCAGTTTATTTCACTTAAGAGTATAGTCTCAAAATGCATCTATTTACATAGAAATGTCTCAAGTTTATCCTTCTTTACGGCAGAGTAGTATTCCATTGTATATAAAAAAATCACTTTTTTTGTTCATTCATCAGTTGATAGGCATTTGGGCTGTTTCATAAACACAGGTGTGTATATATCGCTGAGGTATGAAGCTTTTAATTCTTTCTGGAAGCTGTGGGACCTTTAGTTTTAGTTCTTTAACAAAGGAGCCAAACATCTTCACTGGAAAAAAGATAACCTCTTTAATAAATAGTGCTGGAAAAGTTGGCTTTCCACATGCCAAAGATTAAAACTAGACTCATATCTTTCACCACGCACTAAACTTAAGTAAAAATGGACCAAAGATCTAAATATTAAAACAGAAATACTAAATCTTCTGATAGATAGAATGGGTAGAACTCTTGAAGACATTGGTGTAGGCAAAGACTTTATGAACAAAACCCCAGTTGCACAGGAAATATTACAAAGAATCAACAACTGGGGTCTCATATTACAAAGCTGTAGTGTGCCTCCAATTACTGGCAGAGTTTGTTCAAATACATTTTTGGGTTTCACAACTAGAGTTTCTTGTTTGTTAAGTCGAGGCTGAGGGTTGGTATAAGGTGCATTTCTGACAAGTTTCAAGGAGCTTTTGATGCTGTTGGTCCAGTGTCCACACCGTGAAGACCACTGCTTAGAGGGGTGTAATGCACGGTACTCTCTCTTCTTACAGACCATTTTTCACACATTTTCCCTTGACATCAGGTCAGGGTTCAGCTTTGCCAACAAGACCACCTGTAGTGTAGGTAGCACCCCTCATCACCATCCCCAGAGAGCTGGTAGCCACCCACACGCTGAGATGCATACTGCTGTCTTGCTTCACTTGGTACAGGCTGTGCTCTGTAGGTTCCTTGCACAAAGTGAACTTCTCAGAAGGATTTCTGTAACTGTTTGTTGAACTAACAGGAACTGGGTTTGCTGTTGTACACCTGTAATCCCAGCACTCAGGAGGCTGAGGCAGGAATATTGCTGTGAGTTTGAGGCCAGCATGGACTAGAAAGTGAGTTTAAGACCAACCTGCACTACATAGTGAAACCCTGTCTCAAAAAGACAAAAAAAAAAAAAAAAAAAAAAAAGCAAAGCAAAGCAAAACACTCCCAGAACTAACAGGAATATTCTGGAATGACCCATGACTTGTATTTTTAAAAATAAATACTAATATTTATTCTGGCTCCTAAAATATAAATCTGTACCTGAAAACACTGAAAAAGATTAACTTACAAGAAAAGCAGCAGTGCATACTGGTTGCATTTGTAACGCCCACAATTCACTCCACAAGTGGTTTCTCTTGAACACAGTAATTTTTCCACAGGCCTGTGCTTTTCCCTGTGCATGTGCTGCGTGATGTGGCACTCTTCCTCTTTCTTCTGGAGGTTCCTCTGTATCATTCAAGGCTAAGCTGAAATGTCTTCTTTTCACTAAAGGCTTCCTGCCTAGGTCAGGATATTTCTCTTCAACCCTCTTCTACCTCTGTAGCTCCTTGAATATTTCTTTTATTCTTCCTTCTTTCTTTTCAGTGGTGGTGATTGAACCCAGGATCTTTTTACGTGCTAGGCATGTGCTGTACCCCTGAGCTACCCTCCCAGACCATGTAATTCTTTTGAGTTGTCTCACACTTGTGACGTTACTTATTGGGCTTCCCGCTGGAGCTTTTTAAGGGGAGAACTGAGTCTTCATAGGTTGTAATTGCTCAGGTAAGATGCTTAGCACAGTGCTGGTAGTAATTAGTGTTGATCTCCTTTATTATAATTTGTATTTATCACACCTCCAGTGTGTAGAACAGGTGGGTACTTTATTCTTTGGTAAAGTTAATTACAATTTAATGGTCATGGCAGTTTATTGGGTTAATATATCCCTTAGTCATTGCAGGCTGATCAGGTCCACAATCTCCTGAACGAGTTATGGTGAAGGCTAAATAAAAAGAGGTGAAAGGAATGATTTCAGGGCTCCAGGAGGATCAAAGCCCTCTCACAGAATTTGAGATTCCCTCAGGGCTAAGACCAAGGCCTTCTCTGGGTGGCTTGTATTTATTTGGTTATCAGAAGAAGGGAGAGGAGTACTCAAGAAGGGCAGAATCACTCAAGGACTTCTTCAAGTAAGGTATTAAGTTAATTTTTAATAAGGATTAAGTTAATCCACCCAGGAGTGAGATGCCTGAGGCTATAGTCTTTATCTAGTTGAAATCAGATCCAGGCATCCTTGGCTGTGATCCTGTCTTATCCTTTGAGGTTTTCTGGCTTCATCTGCCATTATAGATTTTAGTAGGGTTAGTGATTCACAGAGGTTCACTTACTATGAGTCCATGCCCATTTCCAGACAAGTGGCCTACACTTTGGACAGATTCACAAGTAAAGATAAAAAACCAATTGATTAATTTAAGTCTTGCTCAGGGCTCCTTTATAGTGGTCTACCTCAGTAGTTGGCCTAATCGTGTCTCAATTGTTGGGACTGGGGATGTTGAAATTTTTATGTTTTTCTCTCTCCATTCCTTTATCTTTTAAGATATTCAGTTAAGGTTTTTAAATAATCTTTTTGAGTTGTTTTGTAGTTTCCTCCCAGAGAACACTGAAATGGCAGTGTGTTTCACTCAAAGGAGTAACTTGGTGGATTTTGTTTCAGGCGTGAGCTGAAAAGTTTTGGGGTGAAAGTCAGCATGGTTGAACCTGGTGCCTTCAAAACGGGATTAACAGATTTACAGTCAATCTCAGACAGAATGAAGCAAGCCTGGGATGAAGCACCCTCACACATTAAGGAATCCTATGGACAGCACTATTTTGTTGCTTGTAAGTTTTTGGTTTTTTTTACATAGGGAAAAGGTATGGTTGTATAAGAAAAGGAAGAGGGGGTTGATGAAAAATGATTTGCAGATACAGTGAGAACAAAGGTGCTTAAAAAACTTTTCCGGGACCAGAGGGGGTGAGTAAGGTCCCAGTGTACTAATGGTTTGGTCCTCACTGTTGCTGAAAGGCACACAGACAACCAAGTGCCAGTATCACCCCTAACCTGAACTGTCACACACAGGCCTGACCCTCTGGGCACTAGGGATCTTCCATGCTTAGAGCTATGGAATCTCTTGTCATGAGGAGAGGGCCTTTTGAGTGTTCAGCAGGCCTGGCATGATGAGCTGTCTGCATGACTGGTGTGCAATCTTCAAAGTGTCTACTCTCCCGGTTACAAATTGTGATAGGATGTGAGGATGTAATTGGGGAGAGGACCCAATAGGGCATTGCTGGGGACTATACTCATATACAAGGTCACAAAGTCACAGGGCCTTGTGGGAGTGAGGTAATTTAAATTCATGTAAGAACATCATGCTGGTGACCTGTAGGAGTGGATGCTGTGGGTTGGAGGCAAAGCTGCCCTCTTGTTGGAAGTCATCCACGTCGGTGTGGGTGAATACCTCCCTGGTGAAGGGAAGCTTTTCCTTCACACCAGAGTCAGCAAATGGCGGAGGCTGAGGGAAGCAGCTCTCTGTTCCATTGCATGGAAAGGCCCTGTGGTGACAGCAGCAGCCCTGGCACTGGTTTTGGGAGAGAGTGCAGTCCAGAGAAAGGGAGAAGCAGCAGGTCCACATGGAGGACTCTTGACCTAGACGCTGTCTTCTGGTTATACGGGTCTAAGAGATCACCAGCACCAGAGGAGAGAGAAGCTGGATGAAGAAAGGCTGACCAGAAAGTTCTGGAGCCTCTCAAAACTCATATTAGTGAGGGAGGGAAGTGTTTCCCCGCTGCCAGAGGCTGGCCATTGTTATGAGCTCTTCCTCACCTCAGGTTCTCTCACTGCTAGGGAATTGCTTCCCTCTGGATACACAGAATATTGAAACAGGAATCAGTGGGAAACTAGAAAAGACTAAATTCATCAAAGGTGGGATATATCTGTAGCTCTATCTATCTATCTACCTATCTTTTAACAAGGACCTGAAATGGTTTATATATATATATATACATATATATATATATATATAAAAATTTTATTTATTTATTTATTTATTTATTTATTTATTTATTACCTGGAATTGAACTCAGGATTTCACGCTTGCCAGGCAGGTGCTGTGCCACTGAGCTAAATCCCCGGCCCTGGTTTGCATATTTGTCCATGGATCAGAATAGTTGGATCATTGCTATCCAATAGACGTATCATGTGAGCCACACATGCAATGTTAAATTTTTCTGTAGCCATGTTAAGTGTAAGAAGACAAAGCATGGAGGTGTAACCTAGTAGTGGAGCACTGATGCGTCTTATTTAGGCCTTGGATTTGATCCCCAGCATTGGGGAAAGAAAAGACAAAGAAAAATATGAAACATTTTAATACTGTTTTTATTTTATCCAATATATCTCAAATGCTGTTAAATAAATACTGCTAATACAAGAGTTATTTATTATTTTATATCTTTCATATTAGTCTTTGTAATTACTGTTTATTTTACACTTATATGATCTATCAAGTTGGATGCTGAATTTTCCTAACAAGTACTACATCTGTATCAGTGATTTTTAATAAAATGTGTAGTTGTCAACAGCATTATTTATAGTAGCCCCAAAGTGGAAACAATCCATACATCCATCAGCTGATAAATAGATAAACCAACAGCCACACAATGGAGCATTATTTGGCAATGAGAGTGAATGAAGTACTGATGTATACTATGATAGGGATCAACCTTGAAAGGACCACTAGATTTACATGAAATGTCCAGAGAGGGCAAATCCATAGAGACAAAAAGTAGATCAGCGTTTGCCTTGGGTTGGTGATTGATAAGACAATAGAATGACTACTAAAGGGTACGGGGCTTTTCTTCATGAGCTTTTTTCATGATGGGAATTAAACCCAGGGCCGTGTACATGGAAGGCAAGTTGTCTATCACTGAGGTACATCCTCAGTTTCTTTTGGGGATGATGAAAATATTCCAAGATGGAATTTTGGTTGTGGTTATAGAATATTGAATATACAAAAAATCATTCTTTGTACATGTTGAATGGCTGGATATTATGTATGAATTATAACTCAAGCAAAATAAAAATTTTAGAAAGTTCCCAGTTAATACTGAGTACTCACCCAAAACAAAAACAAAAGACAATATAAGGAATGCGATTGCTGACCCTCTTTTCTCTTTTTGTACACAGATTTCAACAGCATGAAGCAATTGCTGTCGACTTGTAGCACAGACCTACTCCTGGTCACTGACTGCATGGAACACGCTCTGACCTCTGCACATCCTCGTACTCGATATTCAGGGGGCTGGGATGCAAAATTTTTCTATATCCCTCTGTCTTATTTACCTTCATCACTATCAGACTACATATTCACCAGATCCTTCCCCAAACCAGCCCACACAGCCTAAAGAAAATTGCTTTAGTATCTCTTGGAATGAACAATACAAATGTCTGAAAGCAGTTGTTAGTGTCTCAGTAATCCCAGGTTGTTTGTAACAATAAACATTCTTTTTAAAACTCATTTATCTGGTGTAGTTAGAAAATCAACTCGTTCTCATTGTAGATATCTAACACTTACTACCTTCTGTGACAACATTTTTTTTTTTTTTTGGGAGACAGGGTCTCACTATGCAGCTCAGGCTAGCCTTGAACTTGTTATGTGGCCCAGGTTACCTTGAACTTGCAGCAATCCTTCTGTCTCAGCCTTCTGAGTGCTGGCACTACAAGCGTGTACCACCACTTTGTTTCTGTCATTTATGATGAGAATATTGCTAAACTATTTTTTCTCGTCCTATTAAACTGAACCTGGTGAAAACAGTTTAACTTGTTTTTGTATCAATTCTTTACGCATGTGGACAGTTCTTTTGTGTGCTATAAATTCTAGTTCAGGGTTTTTTTTTGTTGTTGTTCAGGGGTTATTGACAAACATGTGGGTCTATTTTTTCTTACCTGAACTAGGTCTGTACTATGCTCCTGTCTTTTTTGAGACAAGGTGTCACTACACAGTTCAGGCTGGCCTTGAACTCACTTGGTTCAAGTGAATCCACACTGGCCTCAAACTTCAAGTGATTCTCCTGCCTCAGCCTCACGAGTGCTGGAATTACAAGTGTGTGTTACCACACCTGGCTATGGCCTTTTAATCAGATTTTTATTTCTCTTTCCTTTTCGCAAGCTGTTATTCAATATATTTCTCCTTTACTTAAAATCAAAGATTTGTATTTTAAAATCCAAATAATTTACATATACATAGTTAATATTCAATGAATAGTTAAAAGAATAAAAGAAAAAACAGCAATTCCTCATCTTCATTCTTACTGATCATTGCTGCTAATTACAGGCAAATGCTTTAACATTTAGTCATTTTTTCCTACTGTTTATCCCTAAATTTCTAAATAACATACTGTATTCATGATTTACCAATTTTAGATATTTTTAATTGACTTTTTTATATCAAATGAGAACTTATTATTTATATGCCACTTTTCAGCCCGTTTCTTTAGTGCTTGTATTTCTCAGATGATTTTTTCATATTTTCTATTAAATTAGTAGTGTTTGTCCTCTTATAGTAGGAAATACTGTTTACAGTTCATGCAAGTGTTTTTTCTTTACAGTACTTTTCTCCCCCTTGGGTAACATTGTGTTGCTTTTGAGTTTGCAAAGGTTTTAATTACCTTAATTTTTTCACCTGTTCTCTAAGATTGGAGGGAAAAGCTACCTGTACTATTTTTTAAGTGGTTAGATTGATCATAGAATTAGTCACTGCATCTCAACTCCCTCCCTCCTGCCTAGGGAGACTCCGTCTCTGCGGTGTCCTTTTGCTATGTGAGCTGTTTGCTCTCTAGTTCTGTGGCTCAGTTATTTTCCCCAAACTTCTCATCTTCCTCCTGCCATCTGGTCCTATTTCCCAGAGCGTGTGGCCCTTGGTTTTCTTTCTTACTCGGGCAAACCTCATTCTTATTCCTTCCTAAGTCTGTACAAGTCTGATAAGGTCTCTATTCTCATCATAGATTGGCTATGCATGGAATTCTTGGGTTGAAAATCATTTTCAGGAACTTTTCCTTCTATTTTGTAAGATCCCTAAGTACCTTGATGCCATTCTGATTCATGATGCTTTGTGTTTGAGCTCTTTTTGCTTCCATCCTACGGAAGCTTCAGAATCTTCATTGCATGTGTCTTGAGTTTCACAGGGAGAGATTAGAGGTAGCTTTTCATTCTCTTATAGTGCTGGGTTCTTGGCACAAATCACAACATAGGAGATCAGAGAACTGCTGCGGTGAGGGCAAGCAGGTGAAAGAGGATTTGGTGTGGTGTTCAAATGGGAGAACTGGCGTCCAGTGGAAGCTTGACATAAAGAGTTTTTTTCTGCAGTAAAAAGATAGGACATAGGTCATCACTGTTGGTTGACAGCCTCTGTGTATCTTTTCCTCTAGTTTGTCAACTCACGGTTTTGTTATAGTTGCTGCAGATTCAAACATCACATCAATTCCCTAGATGTTTATAGACTAAGAAGAAGGGTGGTAGTTTCAGCACTTCTACTTTTTTTTTTTTTTTTTGTGGTACCCCAAACCAAGGGACAGCTGGGCTACCTCTGCAGTGCTTTTTGTTTCCATCTTGTGAGCTAGAGTTTTGCTAATTTGCCTGCGTTGACCTTAAGCTTCTGATCACCCTGCATTAACCTGCAAATCAGGGAGTACAGACCTGAGCTCCTGGCTGCATTTGTCCTCTTGTGTAAGGAAAGCAAAAGGTTTCTCCAAGTTCCCTGCTGTCTCCGTTACTTTTCTCTCGCTGCTGAAACAAAATACCCAATGCCAAAATTAAGGAAGGAAAGGTTTACTTAGCTCACAGTCGGTGGAGGTTTCAGTCCATACTTGGCTGGCTCCAAGGCAGGGTGGCACATGGCAGAGGGCAACAGTTCACGGTGGTGGAAAACAGCAAAAGCAGCAAGAGCAAAAGGGCGGAGCAGCCCAGAGGAAGGCTCTTTCCTTCCCTTATATTGTATGCAAACTACCCGCCCCAGGGTGGGTGCAGCACTCACATCTATAATCCCAGCATTGGACCATGAAGCAATCAAAAATTCTAGAATCCTGCCCCACGACTGTATGAGGCTTTTTTATACTGTTTTATACTGTTTAGGTATAAAACGTTTCTTTTACTTTGTGTTCCATATTTTTAGAATGCCTGTAACAATACCGTTGTGAAAAAGAAATCTACCAGTTGGAGTTCAGTATTTAGATGTATTTTTTTTTTATTTTAGACAAAATATAAAGTCAGAGTAGTTCTTTTAAAGATCAGTTGTTTTGTTTTCCTATTCTATACTTCTATTATTCATTTGAAATATAGTTTGATTTCTATTTTCCCATTGATAGGTAATTTCACTTTTTCTTCTCCATGGTATTGATTTAATTTTTTTAAATATTTGAAACATTGTCATGATTCTACTTAGTTTTTGTTGTTGTTTGTTTTGAGACAGGGTCTTGTTCTGCAGTTCCGGCTGGTCTTGAACTCAGTATGTAGCCCAAACCGGTCTTGAAATCATGCCAGTTCTCCTGCCTCAGCTTCCCAAGTGCTGGAATTACAGGCATATGCCACCATGGCTGGCAAACCTAGATTATTTTGAAGCAAATGTGTCATCATATTAGGAACTGTAGTTTTACGAGTGTTACCATTTGCAGCAGCAAGAAGAAAAACATGTTATCTAGAAATAAACCTGACAGACATGCAATGTTCACTTTGCAAATTATAAAACTTCATTGGAAAAACGAAGAAAATATATATAAATGGAAACAGAACCAGTATTCATGAATAGTGTTTCAATATAACATGATATGTCATTTTCCCCTCACATAACTTATAAATTCAGTGTGATTCCAGCCCATCAGAATTCCAAGTTTTTTTTTTTTTTTGCAAATGGAGAAGCTGCTTTTTTATATTTAATGGATGAACAAGAGGAAAGAGGCATCCAAAAAATTTTGAAGTACAAGGTGAAGGAAACTTGCATTTCCAAACATTAAGTGTTTACAGCCAGGTGCATCAGCACGTGCCTGGCATCCCAGCTATTTCCAGAGCTTCGGCAGCAGGGTGGCAAGTTCGAGACCAGCCTAAGCGCATTTGTGAGGACCTGTCTCAGAGAGTAAAATGTAAAGAAATTACCGTTCAATTTATTATTACTTTTTTACTTTTTTTTGTCTTTTGACACAGAGTCTTGCTATGCAGTTCAGGCTGGCCTTGAGCTCACTTTGCAGCCTAGGCTGGTCTTGAACGCGAATGATCCTCCTGCCTCAGCCTCCAGGGCTGGTATTACAGGCGTGCGCCACCACTCCTGGCCACTTTTTTACTTAAAAAAAAAAAATAGATGCAACAGGGTAACAAATAGCTTTATAGAACAAAGCAGTGAGCTGAGACTTACAGGAAAATTTGACGTAACAGAGGAAGTATAATAAAGTAGTGGAAAAATGATTCAATAAATGGGGCAAGGTAAAGTTTTTCTTATACAGAAAAATAACTCTGGATTCCTACACTATACAATGCACAAAGGTAAATCCTAGTGGAAAGTAAACCTTAGTATGGAAAGTAAACCTTAGTATGAAAAGTAAAACTTTTTAAACCTTCAACATAATCCTCTGGAGACTGAGGAGAGGTATATTGGAAATATCAAATGAATTAATTTTTTTTCCCTTTTTTTTGGTGCCAGGAATCAAACTTAGGACCTTGCACTTGCCAGGCAGGTGTTTGTACCCCAGTTAATGTTTTCCTTAAGCTGAGTAATAGACTACAAATTGTGGATGATACTTAATATTGTGCACAAAACATTGTATGCCACCAACAGTTAAGAAGAAAATGAAATGTAAGAACATGTCATGGTCTGTGCAATCACAAACTATAGGAACTCAAAGCACACACCCATTATTACTCCGTGTAAAAAGCAATAAACTTTTGTGCAATGTAAAACACCTGTGTACACTGTATTTTTAGTGTTTATTGTTATTTATGTTCATATTTTAGTGGTTATTGTTGGGAATTTTCTTGTTCTCAAAAATCATTATTTAAAAATTCATTTAAGAAAATCAGTAAAGAGAAGAATTGTTTGTTTGTGTTTGTTTTTTATTTTAAAAATAAAAGAACAAAAACAAATTAACAAACAGACATCCATTTACAAAGTAGCACAAGAACAATACAAGCAACACTGAATTACAGACAAGGTGACAGGAAATTAACCATGGTTGTTGTATTCCATATTGATATCTTCAAAGTGGTTACTCAGGAAAATAAATACAGACATGCAAGATTGATCAAATAATTAATCATTAACTGTACCTTTCAATAAAACAATATAAGTCAGTAGTACAACTATGTTAGCTATCCTGTATATACATACACATAATTTTCCCCTTCTTTCTTTTCTCTTTACCCTCTTCCCAGTTGCTCTTTACTTTTGAGCAATTTCCTTTCGTTTCACAATGTCTATCATACTTCCTAATTTTTATTCCCTCTTTCAGGTTCTTACACTAGTGAGACAATATG